GCTGTGCGCGGCCAGGCGAGGGTCAAGAAGCCTTCCCTGCAATGCGAAAGTTGGCTTCCATTTGCTTAAGTTTTCCCATGTTGGTTTAAAAAGGAATTCATCACTACAGGATTTTTTTGTCCGGGGATCTTAACCAAATAGAAGTTGGCTTTGTCCCGTTCATGGGGTTCCACATTAAAGCGACTAAGCGACCGCACGGCACAAACTTGTCGCCGGGCGTCGCAGATGTGTTGAAATTTCATCACACACACATGCGTATTGGTCCGCAGGAAGCGAAGGTGTTTTGCTTCTGTTTAATCCTTCCCAATACCCTCCTAGAAAAGGCGTTATTTCCATTTGGCAAAGTTGTAAGATGCTTTGTTGTTTTGTTTTGTGCCTAAAAGCAATAAATACAGGCTTGTTTCCAAATACCGAAACGAAAACAATAGGACCATTGCTGGTGTGTGTTTGTATATCCTAAAAGAGCACCCGCGTCAAACAACGCATTAACATGGACTTCCAAAATGTATTTTGCGTTCTGAATGGTGTTTTGTACTTAAACAAGTTTGCGCCCTCTAATGGCCTAGACAAATGGCTACACGGTACTAAGCCGGGAACAGCTGGTCGGTCCCCAAGATGCAGGACCATTTCCTTCAAAAAGCAGCGGACAACAACCACACGGAAGGGCATTCATCCAACATGAAGCCATTGTTATTTTCTTCACAGTTTTGTTTTCTGTGTTGTTTGCTCGCCAGCAAATACAGCACAACACCACCTGCAATAGATTGCATGTTAGGATGCTAGTTTGTTTTGTAGTTCGTGCCCAGGCCATATCTTCCAGCGGTCGAGCTAAGACACCCACAGGACGTGGGACAGCTTGGGAAAGAAGGTGAACATCTCGCCGCGACAAAAATAGGATCAGGACATGTTTCGCCTATATTTATGGCAAGCTCACCTTGGTAAAGCGACCTCAGCACGATGAAGGTCCTTTACTGGGTCGTCCAATTCTTACCGAAGGTTTTGCAGCAGCAGTAGCAGTAGCAGTAGCAGTAGCAGGAGCAGGAGCAGGAGCAGGAGCAGGAGTAGGAGTAGTAGTAGTAGTAGTAGTAGTAGTAGTAGTAGAACGAGTAAGAGTAGGAGGAACAAACATTGCACATTTTTGGTGATCCCCAATTTCGGGCGCCCAATTCATGCGAGGTTGCGTCGTGGCTGGCGAAGACTGCGCCGGTGCCGGGGCTGTGCCAGGCACTTTTTTGCGGGCGTATCCAGATGGCTGGGCGTTCTTGTTGAGGGTACCCTTCTCGGTTTTCAGGGTGTTTGTTTTAAGGGAACCAGAAGGAAACCCCTGAAACGGATGCTAATGACATGAACGCCACCCTAGACTCCCCCCACCCTTCATATTTTGATGCCTCTGACCTGAATGCCCCCCCCCGCACCAGAGGGTCGCGTTTTTGCCAATGGCCATGGGAGGTCCGGAGGAAAGAAGGGTTGATACTTGCGAATTGTTTTTGGTGTGTTTTGTTTGCGCTTTTGTTGGTTCAACGCTCCACATTTTGGTGTTTGTGTGTTTGCTTCCATTTCGTGTTATTTGTTCTGTATGCGAAGAAGCTCTTGTCAGATGGTCGGATGAAGTGTGATTTGTGCGCTTGCTAAAGATGTGTTTGCTGCTCATGTTGAATTTGAATTCCTTACAGTGGGTGCGTGGCTGATTCAACACCGGCTTCGCTCAGGTGGTCACTGCAGCAATTGGCTTGAGCTTCTCTGCTTGAATACAGACGCATATGAGTGACTAGTACGTGAGCATGTCAGCGAGATCCAAACACGCTTCTTGGCTCGGGCTGGCCAAAGGGCAGGTTTTGGATAGTTTTGGGCATGCTCCAGGGAAGTTCCGAAGCATTCGCTGCCGCACATCCTGCTTAGGCGCTTTGCACATACTAGATGTGACCTGAGCTGGGGTTCCCAAGACTCACTCCAAGAATCGGCCGATGGTGACCTTGGGACTGCCTCCAATTTCGGCCCGGTTCTACATACCCCCCAAGCCAGGAATATTCAAGGGGAAGCACAGGGTATACCACACCCACAGTGAGTCTCGCGCAACGGTTATGTGGCACTGGAAATGGAGTTTCCTCTGGGAACGTCGCCAGGTGGCGAACTTCGACGAGTTCGAGGATCTCCTGCTGTTCGACTTCCGGCTGCCAGGCGAAAGCTTGGAGAACCTGGTGAGGCGCATCTCCGACTTTTGGATGGAATCCAGCGCTTCCCTGCGACCCTCTTCCAGTTATGTTGCGCCTGGAGATCAATTCGTTTCTTTGTGTTTCTCCCCACTTTTGGGGATGAGCCTTGTGAAAGAAGTTTCGAGTTTTTGTTGGCCAAAGGAAGTGAGACCCGCTTCAACCACTGCTTTTTGAACAGGGGCTTGGGGGATGGAAGAGATCAGCCGGTGGGCTTAGTGCTCAGGAGTGGGATCGCTTTTTGTTTGGAGGCTCCAGGACCCGCTAAACAAAAGCAAAGAAATGGTCGCGATTCTGGTTTTTCGGTTCGGCTCGCTGGTCTTGCCCACAGGAGAATGACTTTTTGCTAGCGGAGGTGGTGTGCTTCTGGGGTCTGGAGAAGGGTAATCCACTGTGGCAACTCTCAACGGATTGGTCAAAGTCAATTATCCTTATGCCAGGGGCTCAAATGTTCGGGGGACAAACAATGCCCAGAAAGGAGATACCGATCCCTGCATGCCTTCCACCTGCATAAATCCAGTTTCAGGCAGGAGCAAAGATTGCAGTGTCATGGCAATTTCTGGCAGCTTCCCTTAAACACAATGCAAGGTTTGGGTGGGAAGGACAGAATGATCCCACAAAAACGCGCCAACTTTGCGTGTCTGGGTCAAACCAGTCCTCCTCCGGGAGCGACGCTCGCCAAGAATCTGGTTATCATGTTGACCCCTGACGGTCAAAAGCAAAATGGGAACCCAAGATCAATAAGCCACCAGGTATGTGTTGATGGAGACTTCCACGTAGGAAGATTCCAAGCACAAGCCAATGGGCTCAATGTGTCAGCATGTTTGGACAGCTTGGTTGGCTTGCAAGAGTAGGCAAGGATGGCAACGTGTTGGGGGATTTTGCCTGTTTGTTTCTCATCCAAATGATCGGTTTCATCCCCGACACGCAACGAATAGATGGTTTCCACTGCCCTAACGGAGGGTCAATGGGATATAGCATATAGCCGACTATATAAATATTTGATTCGGCACTGCACGGTCAGCTCTTCCCACCGGAATGAGCCCCTCGCCCCCCAAACTCCCCGCCCCTCCAGCATTGGATGAGTAGGAACTTCTTCAAAATATTTTGGGATCTGGAGCTTCAGTTTGGGTTCATTCCATCTCATTCGGTTGTGTGGCTTCCCTTTTTACGCATCCAACAAGGGCTCCATTTGGGTGTGTCTTTCTTTTTTGGAAGGAGACACCCTCAAAAATGGCGGTTTCCCTTTGGCTTTCTTTTTCAGAACCCACACCAAACAGAATCCACTCCAGCTCCCCAAAAAAAGACGAGCCCAAAATTAAAGAACCCCCCCTCGCCCCCGCCATAACCCCCCCCCCCCCAGCAGCCGCAGGTCTGGCGGACCCTTGGCCGCCGGCAGCTGTCAGCAGCTCGCCGCACAGCTGCTCCGCGGGCTTTGGGCCACCCGCGACACCCCGCGCCTCGCTGGCCCCGGTGGGGTGGGGGGGGGGGAGGGGGGGGCGGGGGCCGGGGGGGGGTGGATATGACTTTGGTGCAGAATTGCTTGGATGTTAGGACTTTAACTTTTAGCCAACTAATGGGTTTTCCGTATTAAACCACTAAAAGTTGAACTTTTAGCAGGGGAGCAGAAAGCAACCGAGATGAGGCGCCCTCGGCGGAAACAAGCGAGGGACGTGCAGTCCTTGAAGCACTTGAACCGGTTCCCAGCGAATCCGGTTCAACTCCTTGAAGGTGTTTTCTGGTTTTTAGTTCCGGCTCCTTAGGTTTTTGTTCATGGTTGTCAGTTGGTTTAAGTTGGTTTAGTGGTTGGGCTGATGGGGATCTGGGGACAGTCCAGGTTACACTCACCTTTCGCTGGGCCAATGGGAATCCAGCACAAATCACTCCGTTGATTGAGGGGCGGTGTAAATTATGTTTAACTAGAATAGTCTCACTATCCTTATTTCCGCTTCGGGGGAAGGGTCATATGCATTTGTGTTTTTTTTGCCCTGAACCAGATCTGCTGCGGTGGATGTCAGTTGTTCATTTGACCCGCGGTTTCGCCGTTGAGGCTTCGTCTTCGGGGTCTGCTGGCGCCCTGCCACGTCTTTCACGGACCTCAAGGCTTTGGCATGCTGCCGCTGGGCGCGATGCTGCAGTGGCGGGGCCTGCAGGCCGAGAAGTCAGGAAACACCGGCGGGGGAGATCTTGGGCTCCTCTAAACCACCAGTTGGAGGTGTTATTTTGCGGACATGTGGCAAAACCGGGATTCGGACCCGTAAAGGGCGTGGTGCCAGGGTTTGAGGTGTCCTTCAAACCACGACGATCGTCAAAAACACACCACCGAGTAGGGAATCCTTTGAGAGTTGTGGGAATGACAGTTCATCCCCTGAAGGGAGACCACCAGTAGCCTCATTCGCGCATGCAAGCATTGGCTCACTGGCGGATGGTGTCAATCATGACTCAGGGACAATATGGGAGGGGCCTTCCCCCCAAGGTGACGCTGTTTATGAATCAAAAAAAAGTCTCCCCAAAACGGGCTCCTCCGGAAAGTGGTGCGGTTTGGGGTCCAATTTAGTCGAACACAGACAATCAGACAGAAGGTTTCCTTTTGTTTCTCGGGCCAGTAGATTCAATGTCCTGAAATTATCTTCCCAGTGATTAGGCACCTCCCAAGCTGGGATAAATGCTGCACAAACTTGAGCGGCTTAATTTATGCGCAGACCGAGTATGGGAGTGGTATGGGAAGTGCACTCAAAGCATGCGCTGGGGCAGAAACTTGGGCCAAGCAAACTGCCCACCCTTGTGAGCAGCATCACCGACCCTTGGGGGGTTGTATAAGGGGGGTCTATTGGGCTTATTCACAAGCACTGGATGAGCCCTTGATAGCACAGTTCAGGATACAGGCTTAACAAGGGTTTGTCCAGCCTCATATAAGCGCTTAATATACCCTTATGCAGAGCAACTGGATGAGCCCTTATTAAGGCCTTAGTACGGGACAAGCAAGCTAGTGTGCTTATTAAGGCCTTGATAAGAGCCAAACCTTGTTCTTGTCTTGTCATTGAGAGTTTGGGTTGCGTTCAACTCTGCATTTGGGCTTACCCTTGACTAATCCTGGCTTATCCTTGTCTTATCCTGGCTTCTCCTTGGCTTATCCTTGGTTATCCTTGGTTATCCTTGGCTTCTCCGTGCTTGTCCTTGGCTAATCCTGACTTATTGTGGCTTATCCTTGGCTTATCCTGGCTTATCCATGGCTTATCCTTGCTGATCCATGGCTTATCCTTGCTTATCTTTGGCTTCACCTGGCTTATCCTGGCTTATCCTTGGCTTATCCTTCAAGGCCAGAAGGGGGGTCGATGCCCAAGTATGGGGGGTTCAAGTTGCGTGTCTGTCTCAGGCCGCCTTCGAGAAGATGTCTGGAGGCGGGCAACAGCAGGGGCACCCTCTTGGTGGACATACCCCAACTGATGTGCCTATGTTATGGGTTTCGAGCTCACCAATTCCGGGGCAAAGCAGCTATGGATGTATGTCCTTACTAAGAGATCCCTCCTTTCAGGTTTTGGAGTGGTTGTAAACAAATGCAGATCAGATTCCTCGTGTAGCAGACGTCCACCCATGAGTACCTGGTCTAGGATGTTTTCGGGACTCATTTCACGTCCTTTCCCAATGGATCCACCCTGACAAACTGCTGCAAGAGAACAAGAGGGCAACCATCAGGTACCCCGCTGATGAACCTGGAATCCGAAGGAAGACTCATTTGGCTGTGGGTCAAAACCGTTTTGGTACCATTTTGGGGTAGGTGCACCACCCATTTTAGTCTATTTTAGTGGGGATTTGGATGTTCACTGGGGGTACGGGATTTTGACCCATGGCCATTTGAATTCAATCTTACTTTGGTAAAACAGTATCCCTCTTTGGGTTGCATTGGTTCTTTGTTGCATGGAGCAAAATCCGGTGTGCTACGTCCATCTGTAGCAAGCCGTTTTCAAGGGAAGCTGCCGAGCGTGAAAGGCTAGTTTAGCCCGCAAGAGATCCCCGCCCCAGGTGTGTAACGATCAGTTGAAGCCCCAATCTTGGCCCCCCCATCTCCAAATGTGCTGTTGGTTGGGTATGCTATTTGACTGTTGCTTACTGTAGACATGACATTCAACAGTGGCTGTTTTCCCGTAGCACTAGCAGGAACCTTATGAGAGGCCTTCGTGGATGGGAAAACGTAGATAACCAGTCTGGTTTCGTTGTGTTTGTTGACAGGATGGGACACCCGTTTGTAAATGGAATCGCAGGGTATGATTCTGTGCTGCTGTTGGTTCTATTATCAGAGTTTGTTCAATCCTATTGGTAGTAAAGTGGGGACCAACCAAACGTTTTTTGTTTGTTTGTCATGCAATCACTGGTGGGGGATTGTCACAGGCGGACTGCCAGATAGGTATATTCCGGAGCTGTCCCACATTTGGGGTTTTCCCATATTGTTTTTTTTTTTGCAAAAACCCACATAATATATAATGCTGAATCACTACGTCTGGCGAGCTTACCAATCCAGCTCATCCATGATCAAGGTCCTTCATCCAGGTCGGTGAATGACACTAAATAGAGCAGATTCACTAGGTGTATGGTCCCCACTCTTTTCAGGATTCCTTCTTCTTAATTCTTAGAAGACCATCATGTTTTTGGAACGGTTGAACATGCATGAATCCTGTTTACGTACAACTACGTAATATAGCATATATCAATATGTTCGATACAGGGCCACCCATGGACCTATGTGGGCAGCTGCACAAAGCAATGGAACGAGCACTTTGCCGTGCAATGTTTAGGCCTGAATTCAGGTCTACCTGATGGGCTGGCACTGACCACTCACGATCAATGGACAGATCGACACAATAAATGCCACAATAAATAAATGGACAGATCGACATGCTCGATCTGCAAGTTTGCCTCATCAATTGCATAGCGTTTATAGGATCCAGACAACTTGAAGGTTTTTTTGGAACATTTCGCCTTCAAGATTCAAGAGTCACGTCCTCTTACTAACCATTTGTTCACCAGTTGCAGAGGAGACTTGGCTCGGTTGCCCTTGACCTTGAACTGACCTTTACGTATGTACTTTTTGCAGACAATCCACCTAGGTGTGTGTGGGGCTGCAGGGTAGGTTGCTCATGGGTTTGTTTGGGTTGTTCCTTTGAGCTTTGGGTTCAGTTTGGATCCACTGTCTAGGCCTGAACTGCAGAATTTGATTCCAGGTGCTTTGGGCCAGTGGAATTTGTTTGGCAGATTCTGCGGCTCACTCCTGGATCCTGGACGTCATTTTTTTTGTCGCAAAACAGTTTGGACTTTGTTGGCAACTCAGGAAGTGAGGTGGGAAAGATACAGGGTTGCTATGAGCCTTCGAACAATGACCAAACTTGAAGGATTTATGATTTAAAGCGATTTGGCTCAGTTTCCCTAGCAACCAGGTATAGATATTTGTTCTGCAAAAGTGCCGATCGGAATCGGTCGAAAGGGAGCAACCCTTCGGTAGGGAGATCATGGTATCAATCCAATGTGCGCTTTTCAGGCATAGGAGGCTGCAACATGGGAGCGCAGAGTCTTATGCCACTCAGAGAAGGAGGGGGAAGCATGTTGCTCCTATGATTATGTCTTGAGGGTGGATATCAGACTCTGGCGCCCGTAGTGGCTTCCCCACCTGACAAAAAGCGATCATGGCTTTGCGTGTTTGGGCTTACCCCAATGGAGCTGAGAAGCCAGAAGGGACGAACCTAGCATCCGTGTTCTGCCCGTTTGTTTCCTAGGTGGGGCCCCTTTCAGCAACCCAATGAGGGGTTCCATGGCACCCGGTTCGATACCAGTGCACCAGGAGTCTTGGTGGGTGGATGTTGAGCCGTTGGATGATTTGCAACTTGCAACTGTTTGCACTGTTTGCACGTGCAAATTAACCAAACCGTGGAGCGGTTTAGGGTTGTAGCAACCAATGTAAATCCGCAAGCCGATCAAAATCATCCAAGTCATTAGCCAATTTGGGGGTTGGGTGAACTGGATGCAAGTCGATCGCATTCGCCGCGTTTCCCTCAGGGCCTCCGGAGATCGTGACGGCGATGTCTGATGGAGATGAGGGGAAAGCTGCGCGGCGACGAGGGGTGACCGGGTGGGGGGTTTAGGGTGTGGCCAACCCCGTGTGTTAGCCAAGTGGGCCACCCCCTAGTTTAAACACGCAGACATCACCCACCATTTACACCGACCTCCTTTTGGGTCCTTCGGTGGCAAGGGCCTTGTTAAATTTGAGAGCATGTTTTACCCAACGCGGGTGACCCGCCCAACCAAAGGGCAACTCACAGTTGACATTGACGTTAAACTTTTCTCGGGCCGCTGAGATCGCATATGGTCTGGTTGTGACTCACCAGACGGTCCGTTTACAGGGACAATTGCAACAGAACCGAATGAGTGGGAGGTTATTTACACGTCTGCTGAACTTTCTGGAGGCTTCGTGAAAAGTATCCCGGAATGACCCTCGCATATGGGGGTCGATCACTATTCCTGGCCAGTACATGACCGGGTGTAACTTTCCACGGGCAGGAAGTTGTCTTTCTAGTGGTTGCTCACTACTGCAACCAACAAACAGTTTAGCTTTTTGCACAGGGGACAAAAGCCACCTCTTGACAACCCCCATATCCCCCAAACAAACACTTTAATATTTGGTTTTCCTGAGTACATATCTATTTAGGCGGCCCGTTTTCTCCCAGTACTGGCAAGGAACCCTTTCCATGCAACCCCAGAATTCAAAGCACAAACTGGGGACTGCTGTCATGTGTCATGTACCCCTGAGTTGTGTGTGTAGCTTTGAGGGTACCATGTTTGGGACGACTTATCGGGACTAGTTTGGTGCCTTTTGTTGACATGTGCTCATATCGCGCAAGTTTTGGCCGTAGGCGCTACTCGTACATAGCCAAAAAGGGGTAGGATGTCCCAGCGAGTTGGGGTATAGCCCCAGGGACCATCACGGGTGCACGACCTTGGCACGTGTTTGGAGGAATTGTGGGAATTAGCTGGTAGCTCCTGTGAGGAATAGGAATGGATGTGGCCATCCCTCCATTTTGAACAGCCCAGTCGATTGCCTTTCGTGGAAGTGCGTGGCCGATCTCCACTGTAGCTGGCTACAGCCCTCTGTATTTCATGTTGTATTTTCATGTTCTTATATCCTTGGGTAAGTTCCTTGTTTTCTTGCAGAGTGCCCATCTAGAGCAAAATGCAAGCACATCAGGTATCGGGCGGCAGCTACTTTGTCAAAGCGCCAAATAAATATTAGCTAGTGCTCTTGTCACTGATTCACTTGCATGTGTTTGTTTTAAGGTGCCAATTGTGGTGCTTCCCGTTGGCTTTAAAGCCCGCTTCATGCCGCTCATTCTGGCATTGTAAGGGTCGCCCTGAAACTGCCCTGGGGCAGGGCATACGCCTGGAAATCCATTTCTTTCGTGAAGGCTAGAAATTGAATTGGGGCCTCACTAAGCCTTCCGCTTCAGGCAGGAGGATTCAGGAGGCCCCAAGCTTGCACACTAAGCGCAGCACCTGTGCGCAAACGTGTCAGCATCCCCAACAAAGGCTGCAGAAGCGTAGCGGGATTGAGCAGAACACAGGACCAGGCGATCAAAGGAAGGAACATCTGGTTAAAGGAAATACTAGCAACCGCTACACTTGGGACTTTTGTTCAAGAAACCTTCAATTCTCGACTTATTGAGTTGCCATCCCTTCTTGCGGAAGTGTCTCGGAGTGTACGTCCCGAACAATGAATACCCCTGGATGATCATGTTTGGTCCGAAGTTTGTCCCTTTTCACTTTTGTGGGTTCCCTGCTGCGCAGGGCGGCGACTAGGTTGTGGGCTTTATATTTTTTCGGAAGTTTCCTTTTCGCGGTAACCGCTTTGAAGCAGTACCGAGTATACAGGCCCGAACTTCAAGCATGTGGGTCATTTGGCCCACTGGTTTGGCCCTACCGGTGTGTTCCCCCATCCGACTCCAAAACAGATCCTCACTGAAAGGAGACAGGTGTCCTAGCTGTTTAACTCGTGATGAGTTTCTGTTCGGGTATCCCCTTATTTCCCATATGGCCATGTCTACCAAACCTCGGCTGAGGCCCTGGTCTTTGACCAGTCCCTGGCCTCCAGCGCAGATGTGCCACCCGGCTGATCCAGCGCCGACCGAAAACCACCATGGGCAAGAAAGAATAGGCACCTAGAACAATCTAAGGTCCCAGGGTTGCAGGGTCCGAGGGGAATTTGTTTTGGAACACACCTATCTTAGTGCGGCAACCGTCTTCCAGCCCGAGGTATTCCGTGGCCGCGGTGGTGTGGTTCGCCTTCTTCGGGCAAATGATGGATGGCGCCACCCAGGCGCCACAGCTTTGGCCAAACTCATGTTCTGGGGTTGGTGGTTTGGATTTTGGGGTTGGGATTCTGGTTTGGATTTTAGGGCTTCTGGTTTCGCGTTCATTTAGGTTGCGTTCATTTTGTCGTGTTTGGCTATTTGGTCGTGTCTTTTTGGAATTTGCCTCGGTTTTGAGGGGTTTTGGCGCGCCTGCTTTTGCCCGGGCCGGGGTGGGGTCTGCGGAGTCACAGCAGGGCTGCAAGTACCACAGGGACATGGTTGTTTGTCATGTAGTTGTCAGCAAGCTTCTTGAAGCCCCAAACCTTTGGGCCAGCCAAAAAGAAACTGCTCAAGGCTGCAATTGGCAACATTTGGCACCCACTTCTGGCTGAAATGAAACTTTGAGGCTGCACCCTACTTGAGTCGTTTTGGTAGAAGTTTAGCAGTGTTCAACGGGACGCCAAAAGGAAGCCCAGTGCCTCAAGCACTCCATTTCAATTTGAGACACACCTCGGGAGGTTGTTGTTTTTGCAGTTTTAAGGGAAACCACAAGGAAACATACCGTTTCAGGGGGTTGGCGACTCACTCACTGGTGCCTGACAAGTTTCCCGAAGCCCGAGAACCATTTCCGAAAGAGTAGCAGGGTTGCTGCCTATACTATAGGGTTCTATATCTATATCTATTTAAGTCATAAATATATATATATATATACACAAAAAAAAAAACGCCTAAGAGGTCTATTCCTTATAGGAACCTTAAGATTAGCCGGCTCAATGTAGGGATGGATACCCAAAAAACACCATCCATGATACAGCCTTGAACAGCCGGGTCTGCCTTCAGTTGTTTTGAGGAGATGCTACGAACTGAGGGGCGAACGGGTATCACCTCTGTAGCCTATCCGAGCGTCTGATAGGCTCCCTAGTTGCCCCTCAAGTCCATGAGGGCACAAGGGCATGGCAACGGACAAAGTATTTCCAGGGCATCGTTTTTGGTTGGGCCCCTATCGGTTTTGCATCGGTTTTGGGTAGTCACCGATCGCTTTAGTATTAGTGTCGTTTACTTTGAGGTGATGCAGTCAAGTGCATTTTGGAGCTCTTGGACCATCTCATCCACAGCAAAAGTCACCGCATCAGCGTTTTGGGTCCCCGAAACGATTGGTGGTCCTCAATTCATGAACCACCCAACGCTAAGCACCATCAAAAGCATACCATCTAAATGTCCGTCATCCACCGGCGAGTGGGCGCGGGGGGGGGGGGGGGGTTGCACCAAAAAAGGAAACGGGGGGCACTTTGTTGGGCAATATGCACAGTCTGGGCTTTGCAACCAAAACAACCATGAAAAACAAGTTGATCTATTTTCAGGGCGGGCGTGGCTTTGTCAGTATATGAAGTACTGGTGTGATTTGGATTCAGATGACAAGTGCAAAACAGAGTCTCTGCCTCTTGACACCCAGTTTTGGCAAATCAGTGGAGTTGAGTAAACAGGATTTGCACACTTTTAGGCCCAGTCGTTTTCCAAGGAGAGGTCAACTGAGTCAACGCTTGAGAACGCCTTACATCCTTGCCTTCTACTGAAATGCTGATGATAACAGATACTTCGATCTTGGCGGACAAAACACCAGGGTGACTACCCCAAGGTAGACACAAACCTAGGGGTGGTTGATTTGCCCAAAAGGCGAACACCTGGGTTTCAGTCTACCCGTGGTGGCATGAGTAAATTCAAGTGCAACTAGAGTTTCCCTTTATCATGTACCCAACGGAACCACCCTATCTCTCCGCAAGGATGAGCTCCTGTCTCTCCCGCCACTGGCAGCCGACTTCCTGCAGAAGGCAGCCGAGAGGGACCGAGTTCTCGGCAGAGGGGTGGTCCGTAGACACCCTTTTTTGGGTGGTGTTTAAGGGGAAGTTGCAATCAAAGCTGGGAAGTGTGGCCTCGTTTAGACTCAGACGATATCATA